ACCTCTTTTCCATTTTTCTCCATTTGATTGGTCCGCAGCCAGAAGCAGGGAAGCTTCTCATGACAGCCCTGGGGATAAGATGGGTAGATAAGAGCTGGGTAGCAGCACAGGTGGGAGCGCTCCTAACCCCAAAGTGCTGAGTGGTGGTCGGACATTGATCCCGGGACAGATGGTGCTGTGGGCTTTCCTATTCCTGTCCTCTCCCTGGGGATGACACCAAACACAAGCAGAGAGAGGAGAGGAATCTTTTCAGATGATATTCATTCATTCTTTTTTATTAATCCAGCAACAAATTATCTAGCATCATCTATGTACCAGAAACAGTCAAAAGAGTACTTCAGAAGATCACAACATGGTAACACAGCATTGTAAATATAGTTAATGCCGCCAACTGTATACTTAAACCTAGATAAATGGCCAACTTTATGTTATATGTATTTTATAACAAGTAAAACAATATTGTGGCAGTTGGAGGAATGAACTCAGTTTAACTGGGTGAAATGAAATAGTAACAAATGAAATACCCTATAAAGCTCCACCCCATCCTCAACTCCATGAGAAGAGAATGGCAGAGGTGTGGATTAGCAGCAATGAACGTGAACAGCTTCTGATTGCTGGCTGCAAATTTGACAGTCGGTTATTTTGGTGAATAGCGTGGCATGGCTGCTCAATGGTGACTTTGTCAAGGAAGATCAAAAACTTGCAGAGCTTTGATAAGGAAGGGGACAGACTTGTTCTGTGTGGTCCAGGGGTCAGATGAAGACTGACGTGGGCCGTATTGGAAGACAAATTTGGGTTAAGTGTAAGATAGAGCTTCCCACAATGAGCACTGTCCAAAGGCAAGTGGATAGCCTATGGAGGCCATGGGTGCCCATCACAGGGGAGGGCAAAGATTGCATTTACTTGGGGGGGCAGAGAAAGTTTCCCTGTTCTGATGACTTGACCATTAATTTCTTCAATTTCCCCAGAATTTGTTCCCATGCCACTGTCTCCCTCAGTGACCCCACCTTGGCTGCTGCTACCACCACTGTGTGGAGGACTCCCCTGTCCCTCTGTTTGGAGCTGCAGCTCGTTGTGTCTGGGACTCCATGGGACATATTGGTGTGGATGATCTGTAGCAGGAACTCATCTTTCCCCTCCACATCCTTCATTTCCAGGTCTCCCATCTTGTTATGTGTGTCCATGTTTGCCCATTGCTCAAGCCTCCAGTGCCCCCTTGACATCTTCAGCTCCTCCCTCCATACAAATAGTCCCCAAGCCTGTTCACTTGTACCCTTGAAATTTGTCCGAAGCTGGGCCCAGGCATCACTCAGTCACTCTGATGAGTCTCCTATTGGTATTTTGAGACACCTATTTTAGATGTGGTTTCCTTTGTGGCTCTGAGCAGTGGCAATGTTCATGGGGTGGGGAGGGGGAAGAGAAGGAGGGAAAGTAAGGGTGGAATGGCTCCTTAGTTAGTTCAGATGCTGTAAGAAAGACCCAGAATAGCAGTGACTTAGGCTGGAAGAAGTGTTTATTTCTCACCCACGTGACCATCTGGGTATATCCAGGGCTGATACTACAGCCCCTCAGGGTTCTTGTGCCTGCTGCTCACTACAGCCCCTCGGGGTCCTTCTGCCTGCTGCTCACTACAGCCCCTCGGGGTCCTTCTGCCTGCTGCTCACTACAGCCCCTCGGGGTCCTTCTGCCTGCTGCTCACTACAGCCCCTCGGGGTCCTTCTGCCTGCTGCTCACTACAGCCCCTCAGGGTGTCCTCGTGCCTGCTGCTCACTACAGCCCCTGGGGGGGGGTCCTCGTGCCCGCTGCTCACTACAGCCCCTCAGGGGGTCCTCGTGCTTGATGTTCACTACAGCCCCTCAGGGTCCTTCTGCCTGCTGCTCTGCCATCCTCAGCCTGTTGCCTTTGGTAGTATGGTCGCCACACACACCACGTCTGTGTTCCAGCCACTGGGAAGGGGGAGGCGAAAGGGAAGGGAAGGCATGCTTCCTCTTTAAAGGCATGATCCAGAAGTTATAGCTATCAGTGTACACGGTACATGACCACACTCTGCTGCAAGGAAAGCTGGGATTTGTAGTTGTTAGCTGACTGACCGTGTGCCTAACTATGGAACAAGGGGAGAGCTGGATGTGGTGGCTGTGCCTGCAGTCCCAGCTACTTGGGAGGCTGAGGCAGGAGGATCGCTTGAGCCCCGGAGTTCAAGGCTGCAGTGGGCTCTGATTGCACCACTGAACTATGATGGGTGCAATCCAGCCTGGGTGACAGAGCGAGACCCTGTCTCTAAAAAAAAAAAAGGGGAGAAAATGCGTGTACGTGGACAACAACCAGCAGTTTCTGCCCAGTCACTTTGTGCATTTCAGTGTGAATTTCGTGGCTGTGAATTGGCCAGCCCTTAAGGTTATAGTCCCTGAAAGCTTCAAGTACTGGTAAGGTTCTGCTAGCATCCACAAAGCTTTTCTTTTATAGGTGGGAACACTGAGCTCAGAGGAGGGAAGTTGCCTACTTAAGACTGCATAGCAAAGTGTCAGAGCTGGGACCAGAACCCCAAACTTAGGGATCATTTTCTAGAATTCCAAGGAGACAAGGAGACCTGGCTGAGAGGCAGATAGGCAGTGCCAGGAGGATGGGTTTCTGGAGTTCAGGAAAGGGCTACCTCTCCCAGTGTGGCTACCTGGGGAACTGCTCATGACTTCAGGGATCACCTTCAGGGTTAACATGCCTCTGAGGTGCCTCCAAGTTGCCCTGACTGTATCTTAAATAGTATACTATCCCCAGCTGCACAACTGCAGTGATCTGCCTGCACATCCCCCTTCCCTATTAGAATCTGCTCCTTGAGAACAGACATGTAGCTTAGTCATCGGTCTGCCCCTAGTACCTCCCTACCAGGAACTCTGTAAGTAGTGAAATGAATTACTAAAGACATGAATGCACGTAGATTCAAGGACTCCTTCAGTTGCAGATAACAGAAACTTAGCTCCAACTGGTTTAAGGAAAAAAAAGATGATTGGTTCAAGAATCTGGGCAGTCTAGGTCTGCAGCATGCTTCAGGCATAGCTGGATCCAGGGACTTCTCTGACATTTTCAGAACTCTGTGTCTCTCTGACCCTTCTTGTCCCCTTTGTGGTAAGTGTTGCCCAAGGAGCCCCTGTGGGAATTGGGAGGAAGTGGGGTGATGTGGTGATCATGGTAGGGGCAAGGAGACCCTCTTGGCATCCTAGGCCCAGGGCATTTCGGCCCCCAGCTCAGGCATGCTCTGGTTTTGTTGTTGTAGCTTTATGAGGGCACATCTTGGGTCATCTCTTGGAAGCCTCCCTGTGGCCCTGCTTCTGCAGGGTTGAATGCACTTTCCGTAACTTAGACTGAGGACAGCCTGGCCCCTCACTCCTGCTGCTCTGTGAAAACCCACAGTGCTCTGTGGTTTTGGGATAGAGGGGGAGGTGGAGGAAGAGGAGGGAGAGTGGGAAGGGAGGGGGAGGGAGAGTGGGAAGGGAGGGGGAGGGAGAGTGGGAAGGGAGGGGGAGGGAGAGTGGGAAGGGAGGGGGAGGGGGAGGGGGTGCGGGCAGGTGACTCACTGGGAGGGGTGCCACATGCTGACTCCAGGGCAGGTCCCAGCTGGGGATGAAATTCCCTTTTGTGGAACACGTAGGTGGGCGGTATGCAGGTGGCATGAGGCCTGCGTGTCTCCACATGGCTCTGTGTCCCCAGGCCACCCTCTGATTCTCTGAGCAGCACATCCTTTCTGAGCTGTGTCTCTTTCTCCTGTCCTCAGCTCCTCCAGGCCCAGCTGTCAGGGTAGGGGGGTCTCTGGGTGTTGTGGACTCCTCTGGTCTCTTTGCTTCTGGGCTGTCAAGCTCCTTCTCTCCAGAGCAGCTTTCCAGGACCCAGAGTGTAGGAAAGGAATAAAAGGAAGCAAGTCCAGGGCCCAGGCCTGGAAGTCCCTTGTCTTCCTCTGGAGGGAAGGGAGGCTCGGCCCTGGGAGTCAGCAGCCTTCCCCTACTCCATTCACAAAGCACCTTTGTCTTACAAGGGCCACCGTGGGACCCACAGGAAGATCCTGCCCTTTCTGTGGGGGATGGGCAGGTCCTGATCAAGGGAGGTGCCCTCTGCTCCCTGCACCCGCCCAGAGTGGCAGGAATTAGCCTGATATATGGAAAAGACAATCATACAAAGGGTCTAGAGTGCCAGGCAGAGGAATGGGGTCTGAGTTCTATAGTGAATGGGGAGCTGTGGGACGTTCTTGAGCAAAGAGGGGACATGAACAGATTCCTGTCTTAGGTCCTAGGAGAAGGCGCCTTAGAGAATGGAAAGAGAGGAGCAGGCAGGGCCAGTGAGGAGGGTCTTGGGTCAGGGTGGGAGGTGGAAGCTTGAGAAGCAGTGCAGAGAGTGAGGGAGTGGCCCCAGAAGAGCCCACAGGCCGTGTCTCGGGGTAAGAGAGGAAGGAGGACGTGGAATCTGGGCATTCGTTCATCCTTAGCCCTGGTGCTTCCTGCGGGGGGTGAGCAGGTCTTGCGGCAGCTGCGTGCTGGAGCTTCCTGTGGGCCCCAGGGTGGCCCTCGTAGGGCAGGATGTGGTGCCCGCCAAAGGCGCTTTATGAATGAATCGGGGAGGGGCGGGGCGCGGGGGTGGGGGGAGCTGCTGACTCAGCAGGCGGCCAGGCTCTGAGGCCGGAAGCGTCTGGAAAGGAAGTGGCTGCTCAGGGCTTCCCTACTGTAGACAGCTGGGAGAGAAGGGGGGCTGGCCAGGATGCACATGGTTTGGCTGAGGGACTCCCTGGGCCCAGCTGCTGGGGGTGTGTGTGTGTAGGAGTGGAGGGTGGCAGGGAGGGGGCAGGTGTGCTTGGCTGGGATTGGAAGGATTGAGGCTGGGTGCCTGGGATGGAATTAAGGCTAGCAGCTGTTAATGAGGTTTGCTCCATGGAAGGGCGGAAAGGTAGCAGAACTGGACTCTTCCCAGCTGTGCTGACTGGCAAATTCCTTGACATTAACAAAGTCATTTACCTGGGCTTTAATTTTTTAAAGTCCTGCAAAAACATGACCGAGTGGTACAGCATATCTCCCAGGGTGTTCATCCTTAGCCCTGGTGCTTCCTGCGGGGGGTGGGCAGGTCTTGCGGCAGCTGCGTGCTGGAGCTTCAGGAGGGTGTGAAATCATTTCCATTCTTGTTGATCAGTGTTGGTTGGCATAGATGTGGCTTGATCGGGACATGGCACCAATGTTTAGACAGCAGCTGTGGGACTCAGGGAAGAGGTGTGTGCAGCCTGGAGGGTGGCTGGAATTGGGAACGGGGCTGGACTTAGGGACGTCTGCCCTTCCCATCCCGGGCTCAGGCCTGACCTGCAGCCACAGACCTGTCTCTTACTCAGTCCTGACTCCAGCCTTGGGGGTCATCCCCAGGCCTGGCCTCTTCCACTTCTGATCTGTCTTGGTCACTCAATTCAGACTTGTTAAGCTAGCAAATGTCCTCTCTCTGCATTCCCGCACTCATACATCTAGTCGCCTCCTAAAACTCTGTCCTAGAAGCTTCTTTGCAAATACTGCTGATGTCACACAAGCTATACTGACCCCTTCCATGTTCTCTGTCTCAGCGAATGTCCCCCCCATCGCTGAGGCTCAAAGCCATGACCACCCTGACTGCTCCCTTTGTCTCTCCCCAAGTCCTCAGATGCTGTCACTTTTACCCAGACATGCTTTGTCTCTTCTGTGTGGCCCCTCATTTATTCCACCATTATCACTTCCTACAGATATGGCTGTAATCGCCTCTTTTTTTTTTTTTTTTTTTTGAGATGGAGTCTTGCTCTGTCACCCAGTCTAGAGTGCAGTGGCACAATCTTGGCTCACTGCAGCCTCTGCCTCCCAGGTTCAAGCGATGCTCCCGCCTCAGCCTCCCGAGTAGCTGGGATTACAGGCACACGCCACCACACCCAGCTAATGTTTTGTATTTTTAGTAGAGATGGGGTTTTACCATGTTGTTTGGACTGGTCTGAAACTCCTGGCTTCCAGTGATCCACCCACCTCGGCCTCCCAAAGTGCTGGGATTACAGGTGTGAGCCACTGCACCTGGCCTGAAATCGCCTCTTAACTGGCCTCTCCCTTTTCCTGATACAATCCAGTGGGTGCCCAGGAGCTAGAGTGAGTTTTAAGCATGGTTACCCAGATTATGTGTGATTAAAACGATCCCCAGCGATTCCCATGACTCATAGAAAATCCTAAATTCCTCACCGGTCTCTCAAAGCCCTGTGTGATCTGGCTGAAACATGCCCGCCCATCAGATGGGGTGTGGGGGTGCTGTCAGATTAATCTTCATGAAGCTTAGCTCTGACCACGTATTTCCCTTATTCAGGAAGCTTCAGTGGCCCCCAGCTGTCTTTAGGATACAGTTCGCACCTGTCAGCTCACCTCTAAGTCTGGCCCCCTCGGGAGCTCCTGCCCTGCCCTACCAGCTACTGTCTGCCAAACTGATGTGCACACATCTTCGCCCCAGAGCAAGCCAACCTTGCCTTCACTTGCCTACTTGCCTCCTCTTCTTTATGTTTGGATACTAACGTCTTAGCTGATAGGGTGGGTCCCAGCTGCCCCCACCGTCTTCCCTGTCAGGCCTCCCCAGGGACTCCCTGCCAAGTGTCTGTCACCAACATCCCTCATCAGGGAGCCCTGAGGGGTATGGGAATGAAGCCCTCCTAGTGGGCAATTGCAGCCTTCTCCACTCTGGCCCAGGAGAGATGAGGTGAGAGAGGGCCTGGGGAAACCTTTGGAAACAAAGGCCTCGCATCCTCTTCCTCCCAGGCAGGGGCAGCCTTCCACCACGGGGAGCCCAGCTGTCACGGGAAGATGCTGCATCGGCGGGGCCGCCCTGGCCTGGATGTGCACGTGGGTGCAGCTCTGGGAGCACTGTGGTTCTGCCTCACAGGTGAGGGGAGCATCGTGGGGACTGGCGGGGAGGGACAGTGATTGTGGCAGTTGGGGAGGGGGTGGCCAAGCCAGCTCTGGCCAGCAGGGCCATACCTCATTTCCACCTCTGGGATCCAGTAGGTAACTCACTTGACCGTTCTTAGCCTCCATTTCCTTGTCTGTAAAATGGGAACATGAGTGATAAATGTGATCGTGCTATTTCTTGAACACATTGTGTGTCTCCCCCCCTCCACCTGCCCCAGGACCTTTGCACACACTTTTTCCTCTGCCTTTGCCTGGAACTTTCTGCCCCTAGACATGTGCATGACTGGGTCCCCTGTTTTGTTGAGGTCTTTGCTCCGTGTCACCTTCTCACAAGGCTCTCCTGGCTACCTCGTATAACATAGCACACCGCCGCTCCTTCCTGCCTATCCCCAGCCTCCCTGGGTTACTCTTCCTAGATTCACCCCCACCTGACGTTTGCTTGCTTCTTCCCTGTTCAAAGAGTAGGGTCCATCCCAGGGCCAGGGCGGCTGCTGCATGGTAGGGACCCAGTAACTGTGTAGAATAAACGATGTGAATCTCTCCACACAGTGCTTGGCACACAGGAAGCACTCAATAGTAATAGCTGCTTTAATAACAGCATCCTTCTCATATTTCAAATTCTTACCAGCATCTCTGCTCTGAGATGCTTCCGCCACGGGGGATGACAAAGCTGAGTGTCTGGCGCCATCTTGTGGCCATAAAGAAGTGACGTCTGTTTCTACCCATGGCTGTTCTGATTTCTTTAGAGCAAGAAAAGATTTTGTATGGGTGACTTACCAGGTTTCATTCCCCCAAATGCCCCCTACAAGGGACACCCTGGTCCGACTGATGTGGCCTGGGGCACCAGGGGTTGTAGCAACAGAGCCAAAGCTAGCTTAAGAACTTTAGAGACCTCTATGTACTGCAAAGATTGTGATGCTGTGTATGATTCACAATAAAAATAATAGGCCGGGCGCGGTGGCTCACGCCTGTAATCCCAGCACTGTGGGAGGCCAAGGAGGGCGGATCGCCTGAGGTCGGGAGTTCCAGACCAGCCCGGCCAACTTGGTGAAACCCCATCTCTACTAAAAATACAAAAATTAGCCAGGCACGCACGCCTGTAATCCCCGTTACTCAGGAGGCTGAGGCAGGAGAATCGCTTGAACCTGGGAGGCAGAGGTTGCAGTGAGCTGAAACTGCGCCATTGCTTTCCAGCCTGGACAACAAGAGCAAAACTCCATTTCAATAATAATGATAACCACCATAAAATCAGTGTTATTTTTCTAAATGTAGGAAAGAAACCTTTTAATGAGTGCTGTATTCAGTTAGGGTTGTCTCAGGGCTGATCTTCACACATTTGAGTGTGCCTGCTTTGCCAGTGCTTGAAGCACACAATCTAACCATTACCTGAGAATGGTAGGGCCAGGGTGGGGGGCTTACTTCCCCAAAAGAAAGTCTATCAGGACAGGACCCCTGCCTAACTATCCAGGGCTCTAAAAGAAGAACTAGGATGAAGACAGAGGTGACTGGGTGGGGAGGCTGCAGAGTAACTCCACAGGATGGAGGGCAGGGATGGGAGCAGGGGACTCTGCCCCAGGGGCTTTTTGCTGGAGGCTCTGGCTCTGGCTCTGGACATGAACTGGCTCTGTCTCTGGGAGCAAAGTTGACTCTGGATAGCTGGGATGCCTGCTCCTGCTTTCTCCTTCCTCCTCCTCCTCCTCCTCCTCCTCCTCCTCCTCCTCCTCCTCCTCCTCCTCCTCCTCCTTCTCCTTCTTCTCCTCCTCCTTCTCCTCCTCCTCCTCCTCCTCCTCCTCCTCCTCATTCTCCTCCTCCTCATACTCTCCCTCCTCATTCTCCTCCTCTTCCTCCTTTTCTCCTCCTTCTCCTCCTCATCCTCTTCCTCCTTCTCCTCCTCCTTCTCCTCCTCCTTCTCCTCCTCCTCATCCTCCTCCTCCTTCTCCTCCTCCTTCTCCTCCTCCTCCTTCTTCTCCTTCTCCTCCTCCTCCTCATCCTCTTCCTCCTTCTTCTCTTCCTTCTCTTCCTCATCCTCTTCCTCCTTCTTCTCCTCCTTCTCCTCCTCCTCCTACTCCTCCTCCTCCTCCTCCTTCTCCTCCTCCTCCTTCTCCTCCTCCTCCTTCTCCTCCTCCTTCTTCTCCTCCTTCTCCTTCTCCTCCTCGTCATCCTCTTCCTCCTTCTTCTCCTCCTCATCCTCTTCCTCCTTCTCCCTCTTCTCCTCCTTCTCCTCCTCCTTCTCCTCCTCCTCCTTCTCCTCCTCCTCCTTCTCCTCCTCCTCCTCCTTCTCCTCCTCCTCCTTCTTTTCCTCCTCCTCCTCCTTCTCCTCCTCCTCCTCATTCTCCTCCTCCTCCTCCTTTTCCTCCTCCTTCTCCTCCTCCTCCTTTTCCTCCTCCTCCTCCTCCTTCTCCTCTTCCTCCTCCTTCTTTTCCTCCTCCTCCTCATCATCCTCCTCCTTCTTTTCCTCCTCCTTCTCTTCATCCTCCTCCTCCTCCTTCTCCTCCTCCTCCTTCTTCTGCTTCAATTTCTTTTTCTTCTGCTGTTGCTGCTTCTGCTTCTTCTTTTTCCTCTTCCTCTCCTTCTTTCTCCTTCCTCCTTTCTTCTTCATATGGAGTCTTACTCTGTTCATATGGAGTCTTGCTTTCTTCATATGGAGTCTAGCTCCATTGCCCAGGCTGGAGTGCAATGGCATGATCTTGGCTCACTGCAACCTCCACCTCCTGGATTCAAGCAGTTCTCCTGCCTCAGCCTCCTGAGTAGCTGGGATTACAGGGCATGCCACCATGCGTAGCTAATTTTTTTGTAGTTTTTAGTAGAGATGGGGTTTCGCCATATTGGCCAGGCTGCTCTTAAACTCCTGACCTCAGGTGATTCACCTGCCTCAGCCTCCTGCTCCGAGCCTTTTCCCCTCACTTCTAACTCATCAGGAAGTCCTGTTGATTCTCCCTCCTAAATAAACCTTGAATCCGTTCCTTTCTCTTTTTCTCTACTGTCACCCTTTGAAGCCACACCACCATCACTGCTTACAGGGAGAGCTGAAATAGCCCCCTAGCTGGCCTACCCCTTGCCTGCTACAGTCCAGTCTTCAAAAAGGAGCTAGAGTGAGTTTTAAGCATTGCTACTCAGATATGTCTGATTAAAACATTCTCCAATGATTGATTCCCATTACTCATAGAAAAACTTCGATTCCTCACTGGTTTCTCAAAGTCATTTTCGATCTGGGTGGGATGTGTCCTCCCATCCGATGTGTCTGCCACACTGGACACTCCCTGATATTTTCACAAAGCAAGGCTAGTCTTGCCTCAGGGCTTTCCACCTGCTGGGGCTCTCTGTATGTCAGCCCTTTTTCATTCCCTGTAAATTTCAGCTTAATCTCTTTAAAGAGCAAGTGCCTCACCACCATATTTAAAGTTACAGGTATTCTTTCTTGTATAAAAACAAATTGTGTTTCTTTAGGAAAAGGGGGGAAAAATGAAAAAGCACTTGCGATTCTCTCTCTTCCAGAGAAAACCACTATTAACATTTTTGGTGCATCCCTTTTGGACTCCCCAATTTATAAAATAAGTTACACTCATGGGAAATGCACACGGTGCAGGCAGGTGTAAGGTACCTGCCAGATTTTTGAAAAGCTGCTGCTTTACTGACTAACCTGCTGGCTTCTTTTCTTCACACACCTTAGTCACATGCTGATGAGAAACGGTGTGCTCATTTGTCCCTCTCTCCCATTAAAATGTAAGTTCTAGGCCGGGCGCGGTGGCTCACACCTGTAATCCCAGCACTTTGGGAGGCTGAGGTGGGTGGGTCAGGAGGTCAGGAGATTGAGACCATTCTGGCCAACACGGTGAAACCCTGTCTGTACTAAAAATACAAAAAAAGTAGCAGGGCGTGGCGGTGTGTTCCTGTAATCCCAGCTACTTGGGAGGCTGAGGCAGGAGAGAATTACTGGAACCAAGGAGTCAGAGGTGGCAGTGAGATTGCGCCACTGTGCTCCAGCCTGGTGACAGGGCAAGACTCCTTCTCAAAAAAAATAAAAGTGAGTTCTGTAGGGATGTGACCTTAGTATTGCTCTCTGTTGCATTTCTGACTCTTCTGCTTGGCACCTGTAGGTACTCACTATATTCTTGACTGAATGAGGACCTAAGACAATAAATTACTTTGCGTCTCAGGCCTAAGAGGAGGGGTGGCCAGGTCTGGGGTTAGTGGGGGCAGGGAGGGGGACTAGGGAGGTCCAGAGAGTTCCCACCCCTCCTCAGTCCCCCTTATATCTCTCCTACTGCCCTTGCCCCCAGGAGCCCTGGAGGTCCATGTCCCTGAAGACCCAGTGGTGGCCCTGGTGGGCACCGATGCCACCCTGCACTGCTCCTTCTCCCCTGACCCTGACTTCAGCCTGGCACAGCTCAACCTCATCTGGCAGCTGACAGACACCAAACAGCTGGTGCACAGCTTCGCCGAGGGCCGGGACCAGGGCAGTGCTTATGCCAACCGCACGGCGCTCTTCCCGGACCTGTTGGCACAGGGCAATGCATCCCTGAGGCTTCAGCGTGTGCGTGTGGCAGACGAGGGCAGCTTCACCTGCTTTGTGAGCATCCGGGACTTTGGCAGCGCTGCAGTCAGCCTGCAGGTGGCTGGTGAGTGCCGGGGGGAGATGCCTTCCCCTTGGTTCACCCTCCATTCCCCCTGCAGCTCACCCCCTGCCACACCACTGCCCCGAGAGCTCCAGCCCCAGTGCTGACTCCTGTACTCAGCCTCATGCATCCTTTTCCTCCTGTGCCATTGCCCTGCTTTTGACCCCACCTTCTGCCACCTCCAGCTCCCTACTCGAAGCCCAGCATGACCCTGCAGCCCAACAAGGACCTGCGGCCTGGGGACACGGTGACCATCACGTGCTCCAGCTACCGGGGCTACCCTGAGGCCGAGGTGTTCTGGCAGGACGGGCTGGGTGCACCCCTGACCAGCAACGTGACCACGTCGCAGATGGCCAACGAGCAGGGCTTGTTTGACGTGCACAGCGTCCTGCGGGTGGTGCTGGGTGCAAATGGCACCTACAGCTGCCTGGTGCACAACCCCGTGCTGCAGCAGGATGCGCACAGCTCTGTCACCATCATACCCCAGAGAAGCCCCACAGGTTTCTTTGCTTAAATGTCCCCCGGGGGGTGGGGGGTTCTGCTTCTATCAGCAGGGGTTGGGAGCTCTGAATCTGGCCCCACCTTCAATCTCCCAGAAGAGCAAGTTGCCTCCTAATGACAGGGAGAAAGATCACAGGGAAGTGGGGGTATCTATTGGATGGGTTGGGGGCTGAACCATCACAGGCCTTCTTGGCTCTCCTGACTTGAAAGCTCTGGAAGCCTCTGGGAAGATTGGAGCCACATCTGGGTCAGCAGCCAGATGAGAGAAGGAAAGGAGTCCTGGTGTCAGTTCCGGGATTCACTAGGGCGGGAGCCCATCAGAGTCACCTGCCCCAGGCCTGACCCCTGGGATTGATCTGGTCCAGCCAAGGCCAACCTGCCGTGATTGTTCTCAGAGGACTGGGGAGACTCCGTATCTGGGAGTCCCCAGGTTCAATCTGCTTTTGTGTCTAGAAGAAAATAGGAAGATGGAACAGGGTCTGGGGGTTTATGGGGGAAGATGTGGGGGGGGGTACTCGGGTGGTAGCCTGGAGAGTCCCACCTCTCCTCACCATCTGCCCCTCTGGCCCCACCCCCAGGAGCCGTAGAGGTCCAGGTCCCTGAGGACCCGGTGGTGGCCCTGGTGGACACCGATGCCACCCTGCGCTGCTCCTTCTCCCCTGAGCCTGGCTTCAGCCTGGCACAGCTCAACCTCATCTGGCAGCTGACAGACACCAAGCAGCTGGTGCACAGTTTCACTGAGGGCCG